AGAGTTCCTCATGCACTGCAAACATTCACTGTAGTGAGAGGAATTATCCAAACTCACCTGGGAGGATCTAATAAAAAACTCCAGGCTCAAGGCAGATGCTAGAATTTCAGGGCAGTAGCTGCATCATTGGTAAATTACAGCCCTACAGCAGGCAGGAAAAAGGAACACACAGAACTGATCCCCATCTGTAAAAAGAGCTACATTTGCCACTGAAAATCCTTTTAGATTGCATAAAAGTGAGTACTGATTCTGCAATGAGGTCCTGATTCTGCAATAAGGTCTGTGCAGGGAGCTCTGTGCATTCCGTTATGCTCTGTATTCAGGTTACATTTCTGCATTGTCTTTTGTGAATCGCAAACTTCGCACACAGAACTAGGCTATTGCACTTCTTAAAGATAACAACTATTTGGGATGCATTCATGGGAGCTTGCATGGATTTTCCAGTCACCCTGGTTCTGTCAGAAGAAACTACACTCCTGGCACTTGGTTGCTTATGCCCAGGGCAGCTGTGGTTGGAGGTTCTTCAGAGATCTCCTGGCATTGCCTCCAGAGAAATAAACTCAACTGTTATCAAAGCATGCAGCAGTGTCTCTGGCTTGTTTTCTGACTTAGGGGAGGAAAGAAGAACAGTGTGCTCCAGGCTCAGGAAGTGGCTTGAGTCCTGATTTGGGTCTCAGTTATGGACCGTAGTGTCCAGCTGTGCAAGGACGCATGTGAAAGGCAGGGATCAAAGAGAGGAAACGTGAGCTTTGTGCTGACCTGGGCCTGCCAGCACAGGCACAGCCAGTGCTGAGGCCTGGTGTCCTGGCCTAACCTATCTGTTTCTCACAGTGAGTCCTTGGAGTGAGTGGTGGGAGGGTTGGTATTGATGCTGAGGTGATTGGGGAAGCCATGCAGATTGGTGAGGTTGCCCGGGGGGGGGGGGGGGAAGCTGTCATCAAGGCCAAGGCAGTGGGATGCAGGGGGCTATGTGAATGGCACCATGACCATGGACTGTTCCCCTACAGCATATTCCATCTGAAGGAGAACACCATGTCCCTCAACGTTGTGGACAGTATTGAAAGCTTTGTAGCTGACATCAGCATTGGCACTAGGATACAGTACTGCAGGCCATACAGTCCCTCAAGTTGCCCAACAAGACCCTCATCCATCTCCATGAGCAGGTGAGCCAGTGTTGCGGGTCAGCAGGCTGTGCAGGGTCTGTCCAGGTCTGCGTGGAAGCACTGCCTAGCACTTCCCAGTCCCCTGTGCTGATATGGACATCCATCCCTCATTTCAGGTTATGCTGGAGTTGATCAAGCTCCAGGAGCTGTATGCTGCTAGGTCCCTCCTGAGACAGACCGACCCAATGATTATGTTAAAGCAGATTCACCAAGTGGTACATCTACCTTGAAAACCTCCTGGACAGATCACACTTTGATCCTGTGAGGTATGTTTTGCTCCTGCTGGAAACTGCAGTACTGTCTCATGAGACTCCTACCATTGGCCCAAGTCACTAAATGCCCACAGCATCTTCTTTTCCTTGTTCTTGTCATAAGATACCCAGTGCCCAGGGATTCACTTGTGTTCAGGATTGGTTTAGTCTAGGGTGGCTCTGCAGTTTGATGGTGAAAGATGTGGAGGAAGAAAAGTTCCCCATGCAGTTGAGCAGGCATATTAAAGTAGAATTCTATTTGCTTTTTTAATGCAGCATTTCTGCTTGCTCCTTCCAATCTTGGTATCTTATGCTGGGAGTTAAAATTAAACTCCTATATTTAAAAAAAACTTGTAAATTTCTCTCTCTATCACTTCTTCACTCTGAGGGTGACTGAGCACTGGAACAGGTTGCCCAGAGAGGTTGTGGAGTCTCCATTCTTGGAGATACTCAAAACCTGACTGGACACGATCTTGGGCAACCTGCTCTAGTTGACCCTGCTTTGAGTGGGGGGGGGGGTGTGTAACTTATGCAAATCACTTGTACTTCAGATTATACAGATGTGTTAGTCCTTAATGTAAATCAACTCTTACATTACTTTTTAAAAGAAAATTAGTTGTAGTAAATAGAACTACCTATCAAGGTTTTATATACATACATACACACATTTTCTAGCTGTAAGACTTTGGAGAAAAGATCTGGCATGTCTTACCTTTTTTTATCTAGGATTTTCAAAGCCTTTATTGCTTTAAGTATTCAGGATGTAGAAATGGGAAAAAGTACTTTCATTTACCAAAGTACAGGAAAAAGCTTTATCTTCTTAGCTACAGTTAAGTTGTAAAATTGCTGGCACTCAACACAATTACAATACTATTTTAGAAAATGTTATTAATTTTTTTCATGTAATCTAAGAAAAGGCTTTACCTCTGGGGAGTCTTCCAATTATTATGCAGTTTTACCTGTAAGAATAAGTTGAAGAAAGCTCAATTTAGTGCTTTAATTAACATTATAAAAGCATTGTTCACTGTTGACCATGTGATTTACTTTATTCTTGAATTGGCTCCATTGAAAATAGCTAGCTTTGTCACATCTACAGGCATAGGAAATGTGCATGAGGAGTACTTGTGGTGCCGTGCCCGGGATTCTTTCGTATGTTCACCAACTTAAGGGGAACCGTAAAAGAGCAAGGACTCCAGGTGCAGCACAGCTGTCCATTATAAGTATTTATTGCTCACTCCTACATTACAATCTTTCAGCCTAATTCACTATAGCCAAGCACCAAAAATATAATTCTACGTGCACTTCGGGTTCACAACCAAGTTGCTGTCTTACAAATGCTGATCCCTCGATGTCCCATCGGTCACAGAGGAATAATAGTGCAGGCGTCTCCTTCTCAATGGGTGGGGGTCCTGAGGTCAGGCTGTCATCTGGAGCAGGGTCCACACCATATAGGACATTAATCTTTTATAGCTCCCCCTGTTGTTCCTCCCCAAAAATAGCAGCTTAAACCAATCATGAGTTGAATTGTCTTTTTATCCAATCAGGTTTTATTATTCCCTACAACTCCTTTGTTTTATTTCTTATTATTAATTTCCCCAATGTTCTACCAGAGGTGAGAGTTTCTGCAGTGCCATCTCATTTCTTATCACTCCATTCCCACACAGCTCTGCAGTGTGGTGCCTCAGGCCGTAGACACCCCAGGTGCTGCTGACTGGTGGGATGCACCAGCACATCCTGCTGGCATCAAGGCTGTGCTATCCGTGAGACCCACTCTTGCCTGCCAGGCTGTGACAGTCTTGTGAGTCAGTTCCAGCATTACATAGTGATTTAATCCTACTTCTGTAGTAGGAATTAATGAATTTCAGCCTGGCTTGTGTGTCAACAGCCTATCTGCACATGGGGGATGTACGTGTAAGAGCTACAGCCCCCTGCAGGAAAAAAAAAATCCTTCAAGTTTCTGTACAGTTGTGCAAACATGGGCTTAACTAGCTTTTTATGTTCCTAGGGAAATATCCCTGCCTACACATAGTACATATACACCACCTATTGTTGTCAGGTACAGTCCTGCTCCAACACCATAACCAGCTTACCACCTGCAAAGGGGGGAGGGGGAAGAGGGCAAGCCATCAGCCAATTTCTCTGAATCTTATTAGGAACCAAGAGATGACTTGCACAGAAATCTGAGTGATTGCTTACAGAAATACTCTTACAAACAGCTTCTAAAGCAGCTTAAGCCCTGATGAGGTCAGAAAGAAAAGCCTTATTGAAGTTCAGGGGCATCATGAGACAGAAAGAAGTAGAAATATGTCACTAGCCTCTTGCGATTGTTAACAATAGCATCCCAGCAGTAACAGGTTCCTAGTGATTCCACTTCCATTGCAAGTAAAGACGTGGTGACATGCACAGATGTCAGTTAGTGGCCTGCCTGCACCATCATGGGGTCATGGTGCTGTTGTCAGGAGGTCAGGTTGCTGTCACTTAATTATGAGCAGATCACAGACCAGACATTAAAGGAGCTTTTGGAGGCCTAGGACAAAAGGTGATGCTCTTAAAGGTGGCTCTTATACTCTGCTGCAGGCCAGTGTCTCATTAATTTCTCAATATCAGAACTGGCTGAAGTCCTTAGGCCTCTAGTGAAACAGTTCATAGCCTTCCTCCTCCTAACCTAGCGAGGATAGAGGATGTAGATGTTTCTGCAGCAGCAGCTGTTGCAGGTAGACAGATCAAGTGGCCCAAGCATCCCCTGTAGGCTACAAGGCTCTTGGTGTGTTCAGGCAGCCTATGGGTTTGATGCTTTTTCCAAACTACAAGTAGCAAAAGTTATCACTGTTGATACAGGTCATTATGGCAATAGGATCAACACCTTACCTCCTTGGCCAAGTATGGTGACCCTGCGTGGCCCAGCAGGCAGCCCATCTCCTGAAGTAGTCCTTTGTGATGGTGTCTCAAGTGCCCTGTGGTGGGTACCAGCCACCATGGTCTTGGAAAGGGTGGCAAGAGCTGAATCATCTATGACATCATTCATATTGATGCAGCTACAGGTGTGGAGAATGGGTATGACACTCATCAGGGATTCTCAAGAGAGGAAGATGGGGCGGGGGGGGGAACTCGCCCATTATAACAGGATGGGCATGGCCTATAAAATAGCACATTTATACTAGGATTAGCAGTCTAGAAGTGATTTTTTTTTTTTTTTTTTTTTTTTTTAAATCAAAGCTCTTTTAAGAAAAGCAGCACTGGAAAGTTTTATAGTTACATTGAAAGTATTTCATCTACAAGAATTAGAACATTTACACAAAACCTGCTTCTCTCCTCTACAGGCTCACCTATTCCTATGACATCTGCTACTGCTTTGCTTAACACATCACTATAGATTACATGATTTCAACAATGAAGGTGGAAGACAAACTTCACATGCCAGTAGGCTGACACAGATTCCATTTAAGTCATGAACAACCTACATTGGCTATACACAGCATAGCATGTAACAGTAGCTAAATAGCAGCTGGTTAGAAACCAAACAAAACTTCACAACTAGCTCACTACATCAGGACCAAGAAATTATTAGATCTTAAATAACTTGAGCTGGTGAATCACACAAGTTTAATGGACATGTAAAAAAATTAACCAAATTTATGTCAGGTTCACATATTACACAGTTACATTATGGAGCAAGTTCTGTTTGACAAACAGCAGTGCAAGTCCAAAAAAACTTAACAAGTTATTCCAGTTAATACAAAACTTAAGTATATATTAACATGAATTAGAAATACTTGTGTATACTTCAGTAAACAGAGCATAAACTCTAGAGCATCAAGAACCCTACAGAACTAAGCCCAGGTACTTGCACACAGATACAAGAATTACAAATTTAGACAAGTAATCTGGGATAGCTTTCTTGACCAACAGGCAGGCTTTGTTATCAACTTGATCTGCACTTGCATCCTAGAGTTTTATACAACTTGCAAAGTCAATTTTCAGATTAGCAATTTAATTTCTTTATGCTTTTAGGAAGAACTATGGCAGAATGTAACAGCAATAAAAAATAGTATCAGGAAGTGAGGGTTAACTACTTGTAGTCCTTCACTTGCCTACTGATGCATACAAAACTGGCATCACAATGGTTATTCACTAGCCCTTTTAAGAAGTCTGACATTGAACGCCACCTCTAGGCTGATGCTCATCATCTTCATAGGCTTCTCTATTATAGCAATGTCGTCTTTCTTGAGTTAGATCAAAGTCCATTAAATCCACTTGTTCCATTTCCTCAGTTTCTTCTACTTCCTGCCTTGCAGGTAGCAGTTTTTCCAGCAAGGACAACTTATCTGAGGAGAGGAAGCCACTCCCTGGGAAGTTCACCTGAAATCAAGAGCTGCAGTTACTGAAGTTGGCTCGAACTAGCCTTTCTCTATCTCACTACAGGTCAATTATCTGCCAGCATCAGCTTTATCATTACAGAAGACTTGAAAACCCACTGCTAAATAAATAGTTAAGTCACTTGCTAGTCTTTCACATCTGCCTAAAGTGCATTTCTACTAAATTTGGCAAACTTCATTGTCGGCTAGTTCAGTGTTTGTTCTGCCCCAGGCTGCCATTTAGAAAGGTCTAAAAAAGAAATACCCAGCTAAAGCCAGAGTAGGGGGACACACCAATTGGAGACTAGTCTGATTCTCCCCTAACACTACAAAAGAGCTGCTGTTGCCACCAGTACTAATGAAATTCTCTCCAGTGATTAAAATTAGTGATTCTTAACTGATCTCCTTGCTCTAACACAAGGTCAGTTATATTTTGGTCCATGTTGAAGGCCAAAAACATGTCAAACATGAAAAAACACAAGATATCCAAACAAGTTCTTTCAGTATTTAGTGTATTTGCAGTACAGAGCTGTTAGGAAGTATCTGCTTCTTTTTAATCTATAGCCTTATGCATCATGTTAGGTTTTATGACCACATTGCAAGAAACATGCTAAACGAGACACTTGATAATCAGTGTCTCTTCTTATTTGAGTTAATGCTTAAGGTTGAAGTTCTGGATGTTCAGTGTTGAACTCTACCATGCAAGTTAATCCACTTACCTTAAACTCTATGATCAGACATCCTTTTTCATATGGTCTACGGTATATTGGCATGCCTTCATTCATCACACACTTAATATCCCCATGTTTGACAGTCTGGCCTTAAATAAATAAATAATAAAAAGCAAGAAATTCAGGCAGGCACAACAAGCAATTTTAGTTTCAACTCCTTTCAGTATGCATTTGTACAGCCTTCTAAGTTGTGTTTCAACAACTATACTGATATCCAGTAGTCTAATAGGGACCTGCTGCCTGATGGCTTTTGTGTAGGAGAACAGGTAGACACCTGTTATATTCTGCTGTTTTGTTATGCTTCTCCAAGGGAGCATACTTATGAACAAGTGCTCCATCAGTTCCAAGCCTGAAAAATTGGTCTTCAGAAACCTCGAGTATCCTCAGGATATTAGTACATCCATGAAGTAAGGTTTGTTACTGTATCATCCAAAGAAACAGGTAGCTATTGCTGACCACTGACCAAAACCTTTATTTGTTTAAAGTTCTGTGCTGTAAAGACTTGGGGGGGAACACCACAAAACTCACAACCAGCACATCTCTTATGAAATATTTTAAGGTCAATTCTTTCTGCTACCCTATACTAATTGCTTGCTTTTCAGCTTGCATTTGCTGGATTCACTGATATTTAGCAGGAAGCAAACCAACACTTACCAGGATGAGAAGTAATAATTATAGTTCTATTATCCAGTGTTGTGACAGGTTTTTGAAATCCACATAGTGCTTCAACCAGCTGTATATCCGTGCACATAACAAGGTCTTCACCTCGTCTAAAGGCAGAGCCAAGCAACAATAGTCAGGGGAGGGGGGGTTGGGGGAAAGAGCAAAATGACCAGTAAAATGACCATGCCTAACTCAGCTATTAAATTTAGTATTAAGATCCCAGCCCCCCCAGGGGGGAGGGCAGGGAAGGGTTTCATTTCACTACTCCTTCCCCCTTTCGGGAAAGGGTTTGTCTCAGTCTCCAAATCTCTGCCACTAGGACAATTAATTCCTTCTTTAACATAGTCCAACTTGGACAAAAACTTGCATAATACTGTTGTAAAGGTACACAACCCATTGAGTAAGTTAAAGGTAAATATGGTAGGACAACACCGTATGTTAGCACATTCATGTAAAGAAACAAGAAGCAGCAACACTTTTCAACACTTTTTTTAATCAGTTCGGTTTTTTCTTCTCCAAAATCATTTTTAGCTCTGATATGTACTGGATGACACTATGACTCTGTACCCTCTTCTTCCTTCTACTTAACTACATCTTTGGGGGAAACCACATGACTGCCCCAGAATACACTCAGCCTCCAGCCCTTAACTGCACCTGCAGCTTAGAAAGTCCTTGTGGTATCCTTGATTTTTTGTTTTTTACTCTCCCCTCTCCTCCCTCCCTTTCATGAAATCCATTGAGGGCTATCAATCACCCACAGCATCTTATGCCAAAGAATTCCATGTCAGCATACAAAGCAACACTTCTGGTTCTGAACCTCCCTCCTGTTGGTAACAGTAACTACAGCATCTCAAGTGATAGTAAGAGACAGCCAATAGTTGCTCCCACTCACATTCCTCCTCTTCCTTCCTTCCCTCTTTCCTACATGGAAGAATCTACTTTAATCATTCCCCACATAGAAGCCATTCTATCTTTTCTTCATTACCTTTCTCTAAGATTCTCCAGTTCTACTGTATCTTTGCAATGGAAAACCAGCATTATACACAGTATTTAAGATACAGACACACCATTAGTTTATATATAGACAGCAATTGTTTTTATTTTCTATTTTTTTTCTTCTAGGAATACCTAAAATTCTACTTGATTCTCAGTATTGAGATGATCTACTCATAGATCTGTTACAGCCAATATTTTGGTACTGCTGAGATCCCACCATTGTCTAAGTATTAAAGTTTACACACTTCAGTAGATGAGGGGAGAGCAGTGGATGTTGCCTACCTTGACTTCAGCAAGGCTTTTGACACTGTCTCCCATAGCATCCTCAGAGGAAAGTTCAGGAAGTGAGGGCTAGATGAGTGGACAGTGAGGTGGCATGAGAACTGGCTGGATGACAGAGCTCAGAGGGTTGTGGTCAGTGGTACAGTCTAGTTGGAGGCCTGTAGCTAGTGGTGTCCCCCAGGGGTCAGTACTGGGTCCAATATTGTTTAACCTAATCATCAGTGACTTGGATGAAGGGACAGAGTGCACTCTCAGCAAGTTTGCTGATGATACTAAACTGGGGGGAGTGGCTGAGACACCAGAGGGCTGTGCTGCCCTTCAGAGGGACCTGGACAGGCTGGAGAGCTGGGCAGAGAGGAACCTCATGAAGTTCCACAAAGGCAAGTGCAAGGTCCTGCACCTGGGGAGGAATGACCCCAGGCACCAGTACAGGCTGGGGGTTGACCTGCTGGAAAGCAGCTCTGCAGAGAAGGACCTGGGAGTGCTGGTGGACAACAAGTTAAGCATGAGCCAGCAGTGTGCTCTTGTGGCCAAGAAGGCCAATGGGATCCTGGGCTGCATTAGGCAGAGTGTTGCAGCAGCAGGTCGAGGGAGGTGATCCTGCCCCTCTACTCAGCCCTGCTGAGGCCTCACCTGGAGTCCTGTGTCCAGTGCTGGGCTCCCCAGTACAAGAGAGACATGGCACTACTGGAGAGAGTCCAGAGGAGGGCTATGAAGATGATGAGTGGACTGGAGCATCTCTCCTATGAAGAAAGGCTGAGAGAGCTGGGCCTGTTCAGCCTGGAGAAGAGAAGGCTGAGGGGGGAATCTGATCAATGTGTACAAGTATCTGAAGGGAGGGTGTCAAGGGGATGGGGCCAGACTCTTCTCCGTGGTGCCCAGTGACAGGACAAGAGGCAACGGGCAGAAACTGAACCACAGGAAGTTCCATCTGAACCTGAGAAAAAAAACTTCTTTCCTGTGAGGGTGACAGAGCCCTGGAACAGGTTGCCCAGAGAGGTAGTGGAGTCTCCTTCCCTGGAGATATTCAAAACCCGTCTGGATGTGATCCTGGGCAATGTGTTCTAGATGACTCTGCTTGAGCAGGGAGGTTGGACTAGATGATCTCCAGAGGTCCCTTCCAACCTCAACTATTCTGTGATTCATTTTACATTCAATACTGAACTTTATCATTTTTGTTGCATTTTATCATGCAATCATTCTGCAACTCTACAGGGTAGTGAAGATGGGGGTTGATTAGGGTTCTGTATCATCAGCAAACTACCACCTCGCAGTGTAAGATGAGGTTAAAAGGAGTTGCACTGGGGACCTTTAGGACTCAGTTGGGGGATCCCATCACATTTCTATATCAGAGGAAATTATATTCTTACCTGGTTTCCTACTTTTTAGCCAGTCATTTATCCATATAACATTCCCTTCCACTCGTCAGCAGTTTAGTATATTCAAAAAACCTTTTGCTGAAGAACTTCATTCCATTGAATTGCTAAAATGTTATTGAATCTCCTGGAGCTCCCTAGTCTGCCATAAACACCACTAAAAGTGTAAAAGCGTGAGCATTTCTGCCTAAAATAAATAAATAAAAATCTTAGTTTGCAACCCTTGAGCCAAAGAGCTAATTATTCTGAATAGCACAAAGGTTACTGCAGATAAAGTAGATGCAGTAAGTTTTATTGAGTTGGAAAACAAACCACAAAGCTCAAAACTAAACTTTCATTTCAGGACAAGTCAGAAACAACTCAGTTCAGTTTAAAAACACAGAAATTTTAACATGGAGATGGAGAGAGCCTGAAGTTTCTTCAAGGGGTGCTTAAAAACACTCAAGCCTATGTTGCAAGCAAGGGGGCCTTTTAAGCCCAGCTGGATAAATTATCATAGAATCACAGAATAGGTGAGGTTTGGAAGGGACTTCTAGAGGTCTCTAGTCCAACCCTCCTGCTCAAAGCAAGATTATCTAGGTCCAGTCAGGTTTTGCATATCTCCAAGGATGGAGACTCCATAACCTTTCCAGGCAACCTGCTCCAGTGTCTGACCACCCTCACAGTAAAAAAAAAACAAACAAACAAACAAAAATACCTTATTTTTTTTTAAATGTTCAAGTGGAATTTCCTGTATTTCAATTTGTGCCTATTGCCTCTCTCTCTCTCTCAGACACACACATGCATCTCAGAGGCTTTGCAACACTTTTTAGTGAAGATGGCTGAAGTATTCCCATGTGGACTACAGTAAACAAGGATAAAGAGCAAGAAGTTAATTAACCGGTTGACCTTGAAGGCTGAAGTCCAAGTGGAGATTTGCCAATACTAAAGTCAAGGTCTTAAGCCTTAAAATTCAAGCCTTAATATATGCAAGAAGCTTAGCTGAACATGATTAAGTGCAAGGGTAGCAATGAAATTGCTAGAAGTCAACTGTCTCAGCCACAAAAATTATTCCCAGCAGAAATAGGGAAGTATCTGTGCCACTGAACAAGATGATAACTGAATAGAATTGGAATTTTGCTATGTTAAATGAGAACTTAAGTAAAACTCCCTCTTCAACACTAGAAGAGCTTGATTTGCAAAATGGAAGGAATGCAATTGCTTATAGATACTGTAGGATAAATATTAAGGAAGAGAGTTGTACACATTTAAGAGCAACATTGATGCAGACAGGCAGGTACAAGTTAGCTGCAAGAAGTTAAGCTTGATGATCTCTAAATACTTTCAAGCTAAACAACATTCTCAAAGAACCTTCTGAATGGAATCATAAGAACAAAATAAGACTTGGGTTTATGAACAATGTCAAGCCAGAGGCTTGAAACTGTCATAAGGTAGTAACTGGAACAATACCAGCTAAACAAGGAAATATATTCGGTAACAACCAGCTAGGTTTTAAGACAGGACTGAAAGAAGCCTGTCAGGGAATCATCTCTCTCCTGTGTCTCAGCTGCCTCCTTCATGGTCTCCTATGCGCCTGCTGAAGATCTGGTAGTAAGGAAGTTTAAACAGGTGAAGGCAACTCTGGGTCATTTTGAAAATAGCTTCTAGATGAAACCAAGATGTATCCAGTTAAGTCAGAACTTAAAGAAATTACCTTAAGTCAGCACAAGTGGCGTCTGCATGTGCTGGGATGTTCAGGAGTTTAGTTTGAGGGCAACTCAAATCTGTTAAAAGGACTTGGCTCCCCCACCCACCCTACTTTAAAAGGTGTATGGAAAGAGACTTGTTTGGAAAGTTTTAGACTCTAAAAGGAGAGGAGGAAAATTCCACCTGCCCCAGAAATAGCATGACCTCAGCATAACCCCACAGAACTATTGATATCAAAGAATGTCTAAGGACATTGGCGCTGAAGCCAATGCAGAGGGATAGACATCAGTACTCCAGTACAGTCAGGACTTCAAGTCCTAGGTAACATAGCACATGCATGGGCCAGACAGACCCTTTGACACAACTGATTCAGCACCTGGTTTCACTGGAAGCTGGGTGAGAAAGTTACTCATCACTAGCCTGTCAAAATCGATCCTCCCTGTTAAAGAGACTAAAGCCTTCCCAAATCCATTGTTCCCCTCATAAACGCTCTGACCAGGAATTAGTTGCACTCGGTACCTACTGCTCATCTCCTAGAGGTAGCCAGAGTAATGCTTTTACCAGAAAAAAAAGCTACTACACGACAGACTCATTCTACAAAGTAACTTGAAATAATAGGCTTTTAACACAAAGCAGCATTGTTAGGCAATATGAGGTACTTCACTAACACAGCGAACACTACCCAGTTCAGTTTCACTTCCACAATCAGTCCTCTCCACTCCTCACCTCATGTTGCCTAATGCATTCAGGCAAGGCGACCACAAAGGAGGCAGATCACCTTGATATTACGCATATAGGTGCGTCCAGGTGCTTCCTGACCATAAGGCTGCTATAAACAGGATCACTGAGAAAAAGCACAAGTACTGAAGTTTGGCTTCAAGGCAGAAGAAACTACATAACAAGCAGTTGCCTGTGCTAGAAGATCTGTGTTTGATATTGGAACTGTCACAGGAGTAGGAAAGAACAAGGAATTAGCAAGGCACCAACTGCTACAGATACTCGTAGCTATTAATAAACAATTTCGTTCCAACATTGGAAGTCCTTAGAATTCAAGTTTGTGAATTCCCAATATTCCTAACTCCCTTTGGTTCATCTTCCTTCCCCTCCCACTCCTAGAGAGCTCAGAGTAAACACACACATACACTCTCCAAACAACCCAAAACCAAACCACACAACCACAGACCTTGTACCTTCAGAGCACCAATTGCTTTGACTAGTTGTACCAGTACTTCTATAAATATGTAAATATCTGACTGCCCAAACCAACTCACAAGTGTGCTCTAGCCATAACAATATTTCCAATTACTAAGAAAGCCAGTGGTAGCAGAGGAAGTTTGGGGGCAAGCATCTCAGAAGTATACATGAATGACTCATGGAGTTTTACCTTGTAAATGTAGGGTGGTCTTTTTGATCCAAGACAATAATTATGTCCCCTGGTTCTAGTCCTGGCTCTTGGTCACCTTCACCATGGAACGTTATTTTCTGACCATCCTTCATTCCTATTGCAGAGACCACATATTTCAGCTTTTTTTTTTTGTTTTTTTTTTTTTTTTTTATATAAAAAGTAACAATGTGAAATATTTCAATAGGCACTAGCTTGTACTAGGATACTACTGAACCTTGAGACTGCAACATTAGGACCTTTACTTGAAGCATTACATATCTTACTAACTCACGTTTCCAAAACGGGTTAGTACTGCCAACTTGAGCTATGTTTCATGATCATGAAACCCCATTCTAGTTGAAATTAGTTACCTGCCAAGATAAAAATCCTTGAGGGAAATATTATCAAGATAGCTTCCATCATATGCACAACCATTATAGAAGGGGCATAGAAGCAACACCGCACACAAAGCTTGTTTTAAGAAGCTGATAAGTCTTCTCTTAAGTCTGTGGCAGAACTAATTGTGAAACATGATCTCAATGCCTTCAGTTTATGAAGTGCTCTTTCTAGGAGTGCAATTGTCACTCAAGAAAGTGACTTCACCTACAGGAGAGCCATTGCACTTAATTCTAGTTGCCTCTCACTACCTGGTAGAAAACCAGGGTGACTGCAATCGTCAAAATTTAGCTCTTTTCAATAACTTCCATGTTTAAAAACATCAGTGATATACTCTTGCCAAGTTTCAAGTTTGGTGTTACTGTAATATTCCTCCTCTTAAAAATGAGACATTACATAAAGCATGCTTAAGTATAGATGTAGAACAGTTACTGATTACTGTTAGGTACAAGTCTGTCATGAGTCATATGCTTTTCAATGTGTTTTATCTTTCAAATCCAACTCCTCCAAAGACTGCTCCCACCTACTTTTGAGCAACCTATTCTGAAGAAAAGCGTTTGTTGCTGAATAGCCTTCCATTCTCTTATCATTGTGAGGATTTATGCACTGAATTATATTTTGCCAGACTTAAAGGACACAGACCAGAACATCTGCACTAAGCAACACCATCAGGGTGACATAGCAAAGTGAATTCTGAGCATTATAGGCTTAGCACTGTCTTCACACCTGATTACTTTAGGAGACCTGGTCCCTCTTCACTGTGAAATGCAGAAGTGAACAGATTCTGTAGGGTCTCCCAAAAAAGCCAAGAGAGTAGTTAAACTAGCTTAATAAGCTAAGTGATGTATTTGCTTATCAGTCCAATTAGCTGGTCAGCATTTTGGCTTATGAACTTGCTCTTATGCAGATTAGTTCACTGCTTGCATCATTACTGGTTTTGAGATTAACACTTAGTAATGTGTATAGTAAGTGGGCACTAATACGCAAGTAATCATCCTTGCTTAAAGGCAAGTCTACTTTTTAAGGAGTATGAACAGGCTATTGTACTGAATGCATATCCAGCAGTGTTACTCATTCTAACAAGTGATCAACACCATGCATTTGTTGAAGCTTCCATTTTAGTGCTGCAAAAAACAAAGAACAAAAAAACCCAATGACAATCTATTCAAATATAATACTCCAAGTTAGTAAGATCCCCTTACCTTTGTCAATGTGAACTTCTAGGATCTTCTTCTCTCTAACAATTTTTCTGCCAGTGCAGCTCTTGCACCGATCCTTGGGGCTGATACGCTCCCCATGCCCCTGACACTCCATACACATGGACTGGATCTGTTGCACCATTCCTGGACCAATCTGGTGAATTCTGATTTGCATGCCTGTGCCTCTGCAATTAGGACAGCATTCTACCGCACCCTTCTTACCCCCACGACCTGATGACAGAGAAAGTATTAAACAATTATATTTCCAGAGTAAACTGGAAGGTCAAAATACATTTGGAGCTTCAGAAATAATTAATGTCTAGTTTTAGTGTTGAAGTTACCTTCACATTTGTCACAGATCACATTCTTTTGCAAGGCCAGTTTTCTCGTTGCACCATTATACATATCTTCTAAGCTTACTGACAACTGATGAACAACATTTTTGCCTGTAAGGGAAGGGGGGGGGAGAGTACACGTACTCAAATTTGATAGCTTGGACCCAAAATTTTAAGTTTCCCATGACACCATGTTCAAATCACATTAGAATAAGTTTTAACACCTCTTCCCATTTATCTACTGTTTGCTGCTATCAATAGCCTTTTCCTATTTCATTTTACAGTTGCATAACAATTCACATTGCTTTCTTGGTAACCTTTTTCAGAAGAAGCCAGAAGACTTCTCCATGAAAGTATAAGCAACAATGATAAGAACAAAATATATGGAGATTTAGGTTTAAGATTTTAACTTCATCTAAAGTGAGCAAATAGACAGGTATGCTTGGATAACTACAGAAAAGTAGGAGATAATGCCTATAGCCAGTGAAATACTACCCCCTTCTCTCACTAGGAAATTTCCCCAAACAGTTGGATAATTGGACTTTTACAAGCAGGAACTGTTTTTGCCAAGTAAAGTTTAATCAAATCCATGGTAAAACTAACAAGTTCTTGCTTATTTAAAGTGTTTCGCTACATGAAGTCATATGACATTTTGATACAAGACCTTCTTGTCTTCCCTTTACCACTACTGCATCTGAACTAAGAAATGATATAGTTGGCACTACTCTTCATTTTAAAACTGTGTTTAATATTGACATCTTTGCTAATACTATTAGTCTGAACTTCAATTTGGATTGGCATTTTACCTTTACTGCAATTTTAGCCCAACTCTACTGGACAGCACAGAAGAACAAAGAGATCTCATAGATCAAGACCGCTTTACTTTATTTATATGCTGTTACTTTTAACTAAGGTCTTTCAGCTAAAAGTCACTTAAAAATTCACATTTTGACAGTACACTTGTGTTATACTTAGTTACCAAGTATCTTAAGATACCATCCCATTCTTGCTCTATTTTATTAAAAGCTGGGCTTATCCTTAGATAAAGGCTTCCTAAATGCAGAGTCTGGCTAGGTATTAAATTAACATAAGACAGCTCACAGATGAAAACTACCAGCA